GCATGTCATGATATTCCTGAGAACCAAAGAGTTAGTGTAGCCACTAGTGAGTTTACGAACTTTGCTTCTATTTGGTGGAGTGAATATTTCCATGTTAATGCAAATAATATACCTACTACTTGGGATGCTTTAAAACAAGCTATGCGACAACGTTATGTTCCTTGATATTATGCTCGTGACAAACTAAATGAATTGCAACGTGGAAAACAAGGTAGTAGTTCTGTACAGGATTATTATTACCAAGAATTGCAAACAGGCTTAATGCGATGCGGATTAGTTAAAACCGAAGATGCTATGATGGCTAGATTTTTAGGTGGTTTGAATCGTAGTATTCAGGATATATTGGACTATAAGGAGTACAATCCTATTACCCGTTTGTTTCATTTTGCTTGTAAAGCAGAAAAGGAAGTACAGGAACGACACACAAGGGACGAGGTGACATTTCTACAGGTCACCGCTCATCATGGACAACCTCTCCTACTGTTCCATCCACTATTGAGTCAACATCACCACCTCTCTTCACCTGATGAATGGGGTGTCAGCAGATGGATTCTTTGTATGTACGGTCTGAAGCGATCATCATTGATTTTTGTAATTCTAGGAAATCCAGCGGATGATTTCCATTGCATATTTGCATGTACGGTTTGAGTTGTGCACAATGAGAAAGTCTCTGCTCCTCTCGTAACATACATTTGGTTATTCTTTGCATGTACGGTCTGAAGCGATCATCATTGATTGTTGTAATTCTAGGAAATCCAGCGGATGATTTCCATTGCATATTTGCACGTACGGTTTGAGTTGTGCACAATGAGAAAGTTTCTGCAAATATGAACATACAGCTCAGATCTCTCTATCACTTCACTGCCTACAATTACAAATATGAACATACAGCTCAGATCTCTCTATCACCTCACTGCCTATAGTTAACCTTGTTCCTGCCTCGTTGCTTCATATTCTGGCAAATCTCATGTGCCAGAATTTTGCCAGAATATGAAGGAAATAGTTCCCGGACAGAGCCTAATAGTAAGATAAATGGTATATTACCATTATTGCACAAGTAGACAAGCAAAAGCAGTTCAAAAACAGCCAAATTCTGGCCAAATTTAAGAAAAAAACACACTTAATCTACCACTTAGAGCAAAAGCGAAGCGATTTGCCATTGCTCCGCGCTTAAGTTCCGCTTAAATACACTTTCTTTAACACTGAGAGGGACCATGTTAAAATTTGCCTTATTAATAGGAAATGGGGTGGAAGAACGTCTGAATAGGAAACTTTCCTACGGTAATGCAATTCATCCATTTGATACAAAGGAATGGACCATAGGAACAAAGTATGAACTTTTCTTTAGTTTGGGTTTCATAGGAAAAACAAAGGAATCTTACAACATACTCCGACCTCTTTTTACATTCCTATGAACAAATACCAATGAAAAGGCCATAACTAGCATAGCACTAACTTAATCTAACCTTTGCGTATGTTTTAGGGTGTAGGCCATAACTAGCATAGCAATAACTTAATCTAACCTTTGTGTATGTCTTAAGCTTAATTTGACAATGCTCCATTTTGCATTAACTAGATTCTGCACACTCCTTTGTTTCTACAATCCTACATTTTAACCTACCCTATTCCTACGATTTTCTGGTCACGTCGTTTGGAGGATAAGTCATTTCAGTCAGTGTTGTATGAGCAATTTCCTCACCTCTTCTGGTAACAAAATTCGTGGGTACCAATATTTGCAAATTCTGTAAACCGAAAAACTAATACTAGTTTCGAACTTTGTAATGAAACAAATAAAAATTGATTGAAGCAACACACCAAACCAATAGATTAATGGATCCACCTATAATATGACCACTCTGTTATTTAACATTTGTCTTCCAAATTTAGCAGAACGGTTTTAATTACCAGAAATTTTCCACGTGAGTAGGGAGTAATCTTTCTCCGTATCCGAGAAGGTGCTCCAGTCTCGATGGACATCTTTTTCTTCTCTGGTCCTTTGTTCAGAGAAGTTACACTGTGTTTCCTTATCCTAGTTTCTTCACCGTTTGAACTTCTATTCTTTTGCTCACGCTTCCTACTAGAAGAATATGCTTCTTCGTTTTGCATTTCAGTATCTGTAGGTGGTGAGATGATAGAAGAGGTAAACATGTTTTTACTCGCGGTTGAATCCAATTCGGAAAGATGGGTACTACGCATATAAGATTTGTCTGAAGTCAAACTTCATAAAGTTTGACCATATTCATATGAAAAAAATGTAAACATCTACAATAGTAGAGCTATACAATATGAAAAGTAAATTCATGACGCATCTAATGATATTGTCCCGTATTGTGAATATTGAATTTTTTTTAATTGGTCAAACTTTATGAAGTTTGACTTCGGACAAATTTTATATGCAGAGTAAAAAGGACCAGAGGGAGTACTTTGAAGAACTAAGCGATTAACTCACTTTCTTGAATTCCTATGCCCTTGTGGCATCCGCTCAACTCGAACACTTCGATTTCGAACAACATATTGCCTTCGGAGCTCAATAGAACAACATCACCTTGTGAGATGCCATGAAACACCAAGAACTGCGACCAACCAGCTGCAAGGAATATCGCAGATCCGTCCTTCTCGACCTCGACGCACCAATGTTTGTCAAATGGGCTGCCAGCAAAAGCAATTTTGCTGCTTCGGTGCGCCTCGGGGACGTCAAACTGGCTGACAATGAAAGCTTTTTTGTTGCTTGGGTGCGCCTCGGAGAGGTACCGTTGTACAAAAGTTGGCGGGATCGGCTGCAAGAACACAAGTAGTACTCACTACCCCTCGTGCGTTTCAAGTCTAGGAGTTGCAGCAAGAGACACAGTGGTAGCACTGGCGGAGCTACATGTAATGAAAATGGGCTATGGCCCGCCCATTCCAAAGCTAATACAATGTAGGATTAAAATAAACTGAGCCACAAGAAAAAAAATATTGTGATATTCCTTCATATTGGCCCGCCCAGCTTTGGTTGGGTAGCTCCGCCATTGATTGGTAGGAAAACAGAGTAGCAGGAAGATTGCAAACCATCTTGTCCATGAAACTTGGAAAGAGAACCATAATGAATTGCGGTTTACGCGAAGAAGCGTATATGTTGCTTCTAGGTTCTACAATCAAACATGATGCCTCCTTCAGTTACCAGTATGTATGTATGGCCATTATGAACTGATGAAAACTGAATCGTTATTAGGTAACAGAGGGACAAATCTGCCTTCCCTCTAACTCTAAACTTACCCCGTTTCTTCAGTAACCTACCTGTAGAGGGCGGAAAGCCGCCCAACTCCTTGAGGCACCACGTGAGGTCGAAGGCCTTGACGGTGAGCACCCCACGACCTTCATGCTGGAGCACCAAGAACCACCCTAAGCCGAAGCCGCTCGCTTTCACGAACTCGGGCCATCCGTAACCCAAGAACGCGCCCTTGCCATCCCGGCCGATATCGACGTGAAAGATTTTGCCGAATGAGCTGACTACAAAGACCTTTGGGTGGGGCATCCCGGTTCCTCGTGCACAGGCACCCAAGTGCTCGGCGAACTGGTCGGAGATGCGCTGCACAATGGACCAGACATACGCATTCATCGTATTGGCAGTGATGAGGATTAGATGGTGTGGTGGTGATGGGTGGGGGGGCATTGTTCATACGGCTTACCAGCTTGTGGAGGCAAGAGGGCATCAACACCTTGAGTTGCTTCACCATGTCGCACCGCGCGCTCCCATCGCCGGACGGGCAGTCGCATGGCCGCCCTTGTATGCTAGAGAGGGTGGCCACGTACGGGGGGTTTCTTGGGGACAGGAGCCGGCTGCGGGGAGGAGGGGATGGCGTACTCCGAGGTCTCTCGGTCCGGGAGAGGATTGGGCGAGGGAGGAGGCGGCTCCCGATAAGGCCATGTCCAATTTTTCCCACTAAAAGTGAAGGCCATTGGTACCAATGCAAAAGACGCTTTACATTTCTTTTATTTTTCTATTTTGCCGTAAAGAAGCGTCTCTCTTCCTTGCTCCTTTTCTTTGATACGTATACACTGTACCACATGAATGCAAAAGACGCTTTACATTGATACCAACGGGAGCTTGACCATTTTCATTAAGGGCCTGTTCAGGACATATCTAGATGTGACAAAGTTATATCACATCTAAGATGTTGTTCACTCTGTTTGTGGTCTTTTTTTGTCTTAGTTTTTTTTTGTTTGTTATTGCTGCATTATATATTTGTGAGAGCTTAGATGTGACATCCTTAAAAAACATCTAGATGTGAATTAGTCAAACTATTTAGAAAAAAAATAGGATGTGCGTGTGTGCATTCATAGGGGTGAAATGTATGTGAGGGACTTTGATAGTACTGTGTTTAAAAAGACAATTTTCACTGATGCGCCGCGCAGCGCAAATAACAAACTCGCTCCGTAATGAAATATAAGACTAGATCACTAGTACTACTGTATAAGGAGAGGGGGTAGTATACTAATAAAATAAAACAAAACAGAGTGGACATCTTAGTCGCTCTGCGGTTAAAAAGATTTCAAATGCTTCCCCTCGAGATTTGGTGTCAGATTCTTCGATCGATTTAAAGATCCAGTGGTGACGACCAGGCTTCCGAACGTCGGTGTCTCTGTGGTTTGTTTAGACTAACCACAATGGGAGTACCTTAGACTAGTAACGTGCATATGTTAGTAAAAAGCAATTCATTTGGGGGGGGGGGTGCACGCCGCTTCGAGACCCTTCTCGAGAGCTACAGTAGAGAGGAGGAATCGGCGGCAACTCCGTTCTTCAGGTTCTTCCACTGTCGCCGCCTCCGGGCGTTCCCCTCACCTTCGGCTGCCCTCTGGGCAGCTGGAGGTTGGGGGAACATCGGATCCAGGTGGCGCGTGTATATAGGTGTGGGGCTTCGTCCCCTGTTTGGGTCTTCGGCGCCGGAGTCTTGACGGAGCGGACGACGGCAAGTTCTTAAATAAAGGTACCCTAGCTCTGGCTCCGGCTCGTCGGCATCATGGCTGGTGCTGACGAGGGGCCGGTGGAGTATAGCCTTTCGGTGCGATGGTGGTCTGGTTCACCGGTTTTCCACGGTAATGCCGACTCGTCGTGCAGGGAGAAGGGTGGCTTGGTCTGTGGTCGATTGTGGCTGGTTGGAGAGGGATCCGGTCATCTCTTACGAGGTGAGTTGGCGTCGTCCCCGGATCTGAAGCAGGAGCGGCTCGGGGAGCATCCTCAACAAGGGGATCGCCTCCGACCGATATACTTTTGGGATTTAGATCCAGTTTCTTTTGAACTGGTAGCTGTTGCGGTTCGTCAACGCCAATTTGGCAAGGGGTTACTCCTGCTCCAGGCTTGTGGCAGGACCGACGTCTTCTCCGGTGCCGGCTGTTCGTCGACGGCGGAGAAGTGGGCGCCGTGCGTTCACAACGTAGATGGAAGTCTCTTGAGTCTCCTTTGCAATACTCTTTGTGCGTGGGGTTTCCATGTCTTTCGGCTACGGCTGGTGCTGCCTGTATCCTTTGTATCATTGTGTATTTGTACGTGTATTAGTATGTTTTGTAATGTTTTCCTACTCGTATGAATACAAGTGACGTATGCCTTTGGGTGTACGGTTTTAAAAAAAATATGCATATGTTACTAGTCTATGTTACTACCTCCACAATGAGGAGTAACATATATGTGGTATCATGCAACACTTTATTTATTATGCTATAGACTCATCTTATCTTGGTATGTGTGATGTTACTCATACAAGTACTAACTAGCTATGTTACCACATGTCTTTCTTTCTTCATTTATTACATGCCACATCATCTTTTTTCTCTAGATATGTGTGATGTTACCACCTATGTTACTCCCATTGTGGGTAGTCTAAAATTGCAAATATGAACTGCCTACAATTGCAAATATGAACATACAGCTCAGATCTCTCTATCACCTCACTGCCTACAATTACAAATATGAACATACAGCTCAGATCTCTCTATCACCTCACCGCCTATAATTGAAAATATGAACATACAGTCTAACACTATTGTATGTACTTCCTCTGCCTAGGCTGAGGCAAATATACTATGGGAAGAAAAATTGCACGCACGTCGATTCCTTCTTTCTGGACAATCAGGCGTCAGACAAAGACATTCTCTCACGTGACATCCCAACTCCATAGTGCACTACACTGCAGAACGTAAAAATAAGAAGATGATTTACCGGGCACCAGTTAATAATTCATAATCACCAATAGCTGCAAAGGAACTAGGTGGAATGACTTAGAAATGCACTTTATACGCACCTCTTTCACGACTCTTTCTAGTTGCTTCCTTTTTCCCCACCAGTGATTCGCTTAACCTTTTTCCTGCCATCTTGACATCGGCTGCCCGAATCCATTTTCTTCTCCATGGCAACTTCTTGTTGTTCCTGCCTCGTTGCGTTTCTAGTACTTCGGCGAGTCGGATTGACATTTTCATGTCCTAGGACAGGATTCACCTTGCTTTGATCTTTTATACGAGTACAGTTGACAGGACCCCCTTCTTGTTGTGCTGGACGTGCATTCTGGTTACTTTCTTGTGGAATCTGCCTCAGTATGTTCCTCCACAATCTAATTGGAGACCCCGACGCTTGCCCAGAGATTTACACCACAATGATTGAGCTCCAAACACCACCAAGGTTGGGGCTATCTCCACAACTTAATTGAAGGCTCCCAACGACACCACGAAGCTTCACCACAATGGAATATGGCTCTGAGGTGACCTCAACTGTCTAGGGCGCCCAAGCACCCAAGAGGAACAAGCTCAAGGGTACCAAGCACCCAAGAGTAATAAGATTCTCAACTTCACTTCCACGTATCACCGTGGAGAACTCAAACCGATGCACCAAATGCAATGGCAAAGGCACACGGAGTGCCCAAATCCTTCTCTCCCAGATCCCACCAAAGCAACTGATGCTAGGGAGGAAAATGAGAGGAAGAACAAGGAGAACACCAAGAACTCCAAGATCTAGATCCAAGGGGTTCCCCTCAAATAGAGGAGAAAGTGATTGGTGGAAATATGGATCTAGATCTCCGCTCTCTTTTCCCTCAAAAACTAGAAAGAATTCATGGAGGGATTGAGAGATAGCAAGCTCGAAGAAGGTCAACAATGGGGGGGGGGGACATGAGCTCAAAGGATAAAGTTCATTGGCGAAGAAGCCCCCTTTTTATAGGTGGGGGAAAATCCGGCCGTTATGCTCACAACCCACACCGAGCGGTACTACCGCTCCAAGGAGCAGTACTACCGCTAGGGCGGCAGTAGCCCTTTGAAAAACAACGACGAGGAGGCAAAAGGCCAGAAGAACCGCCGTAGCGGTACTACCACTTGTCTTTACGGTACTACTGCTAGGTGTAGCGGTACTACAGCTAGGGGTAGCGGTACCACTGCTTGCGAGCAGTACTAAAAAAATATCCGTGCCTACTTCCGCTGAGTTTCGGTCAATGCAAAAATCCGGCACGGTACAACAGCTTGCAAGGAGCGGTACTACCCCTCCAAGCGGTAGTACCTCTCCCGTGGACGGTAGTACCGCTGCAACCTTTCCGAGGACATCAAAACTGACACAACTTCTGCAAACGGACTCCGAATTCAACAAAACCAAGTTTGTTGGAAAGATAACAACATGGACTAACACAATCTTGATAGAAATAACAATAAGAAGCAAATGAGAAAAGCCCCATAAGAAAAAGGTGAGAACCCTTCCTCGAAAGAGACCAGTAAAACCTTCAACACCGCAAACACAATAGAAGAAGCATATGAAATCCGTTTTCGATGTACTAGAGCTTGTTGCGAAGATAACCACAAGCTCTAAAACCTCAACAAGAGAAAATACAAATAAGAATCAATAAAGATGATGCAAGGATGCAATGGTTTGAGCTCTCGACGAACGATACGATCAAGCTACTCACATGAGAGCCCCCCTTTGATAGTATGGCTATCGATCCTATAACCCAGTCTCCAAATGATCACCATGAGACCGGTAAAATAGAAAAAATATCAAGGGAAAACCTTTTCCTTGGAAGAAGTCTACTTGAGCTAGATGATGACGATCTTGACTCCCTCAAGTAGGACCACCTTTCTTGATTGCGTTGGCTCGGTGAAGACTAGTAGATTGCTCCCCCATACTCCACTATGGGTGAGCCACTCTTTAGCACATCTTCACAAGTCCATTGTCACCACAATGGACAGCAATCTTTAAGCACTTGATCTCTTCATGATGCATCACTTGAATGTGCACATAGCGACCTAAGTTGACGCTGGAGACACCACCTTCCTTATGAGTGAGCCACATCCATGTGGTCTTCGCTGGGTGAGGGATGGACTTCCTACACTGCAGCATCCTAATCTGCCGTCAAAAAAAGAGGAGTTGATGCCGATTCTTGTAATAATTGGTCGGCTTAAACTAGATTTTAGGGTTGCAAGTTAGTAGCTCGATGATGGACATCTTCCCTAGTTGGGGTGATTGCTTTTGGTTTGTAGTTCCTCCCTAGTTCGCTTCAGTGAAATGGAGCGGGAGAGGCGCCTCCCTGTTGCTCTAAAAGCCAAGAAAATTAAGATTGCTTGAGTTTTTCAGCGCTAGCAACCTCTCGTTAGTTAGTTGGAGGTTTAGTTTCCCACTTTATGAACTAGTCAATTTCTTCTGCAACGCTAAAAATCTCAAATGTTTTAGTTTTGGCAGCAAATAATAGGTTAAAATATTTGCATGCAATCACCATCCAAATGTGATGAGAGCAGATCATCGAAGGGGTTTAGTTTGATTGTACGACCAGGGTGTATGTATGTGCGGCAAGCCTGGATTGAGTAGTCTGCATTTGGAGGGACAGTCCGGTGCCGCTCCTGTGTTGGCCTCCGTCCTCGAGACCGGGTCTAGAATCTGGCTAGTGGAGGCACGGTTAGCAGGATCCCCGAACATAGTTCGGCGGATGTTCTTCCTGCTAATACACAACAGATAGTGTCATACTTTAAGATGACAAACCATAGAGCGTATTTAAAACCATACCTCCTTGAGGATGGTTCCGCCATATTCTTGTTCGCCTTTCTTTTTAAAGGCCTGCCCGGCACGGCTGCCCCTTGTTGGCGAGTCGCCTCGGGTTCGGCTTGACGCGCCGATCGTCGTCCCTTTAGAGCGTAAGAATTGCGCGGTGGGTAAGAAGGAAGGAAAGTAGTCCTTCCAAAGAAGGAGGCCACTCTCACGGTTGCAATTCAACACCGGAATGCACCCCAGAATCGAGCCCCGGAACAACGGTCGCTGCCTATTAAGGTGGTCATGGACGAATTGCGGTGGGGGTGGGGGGAAGCTGCGGTGGCCCGGTGGCGAGGCGACGGTGGCGGCGTTGGTGGGAGGTGTGTCGGCACGGGCTGCTGGTAGAGGCACCGAAAATGGGAGGCGGTGACGACGATGAGGCGGTCGAGGGGTGGAAGAGGATGGCCAATGTGCCACCGACTAGTGGGCCAAGGGGAGGAGTAGGTGCACGTCGCGCACGTCCGCTTCGTGTCCGTGCCGACGCAAATCATGCTCAAAATTAGGCCAGAAATGGGCCGGCAGGCGGACGAAAAGCCGACGCGCGTCCGTTTGGGTCGGCGCGTTGGGCCGACTTTTCTGTCTGCACCGACCCAAACGGACGCGTGCAGACGAAATGGGTCGGCGCGTTGTAGTTGCTCTTAACGGCAGTACGTGGGTTGTCCAGGCTGATGCACTCTCTCGTCCTTACTTTTATTTTCTTTTTTCAACTACTAGCAAAAGAGCCCGTGCATTGCAACGGAAGAGAAAAGATAACACACGCTCTTAACTCAAAAACCATCACTCAAGACCACAATAGGTCCATCTCCTTTATTTTTGCGAGGCATCATAAGCCCGAGCTGAGACTGAGAATGATCTGAACCAACTGTTCAAAGGTACGATGCTAGTTTACTGATGTTTGAACTTATACATATGGAAACAACTGTATCTAACTATCCCTAAACCCTAAACCCTAAACCCTAAGCACTTTAAACTGTACGTGCAAAGAAAAACCATCTGCTAGGTTTTGCATTAAACCTTCCTCATCGCAATCCAAAACCAACAGACCCACTAGAGCAGTCTGCCTGAACTGAACTCATTTCCATTGCATGTACGGTCTGAAGCGATCCTCATTGATTTTTGTAATTCTAGGAAATCCAGCGGATGATTTCCATTGCATATTCGCACGTACGGTTTGAGTATTGTTCGTCCTGATAAATCAACTGATCAGTAATTTCAGTGACAATCAGTAATTTCACGTTACCGGTTGTTGATCAACTACAAATCTCTCCTCATTGAATCACACCTCATTGATTTTTATCATTCTAGGAAATCGAGCAGATGGATTCCTTGCATGTACGGTCTAAAGCGATCCTCATTGATTTTTGTAATTCTAGGAAATCCAGCGGATGATTTCCATTGCATATTTGTACGTACAGTTTGAGTTGTGCACAATGAAAAGTCTCTGCTCCTCTGGTAACATACATTTGGTTATTCTTGCTGTTAGATGTCCGCAGAATTTTATGAGACTGTGTTCATCATCAAAGGAGCCCGAGCTGAGACTAAGAATGATCTGAACCAACTATTCGAATGTACGATGCTAGTTTACTGATGTTTGAACTTATACATGTGGAAACAACTGTATCTTACTATCTACAATCTATGGTTTCATTGCTCATTGAACCACACCTCATTGATTTTATCATTCTAGGAAATCAAGCAGATGGATTCTTTGCATGTACGGTCTGAAGCGATCCTCATTGATTTTGTAATTCTAGAAAATCCAGCGGATGATTTCCATTGCATATTTGCACGTACGGTTTGAGTTGTGCACAAGGACCTGTACCTTGCTCTCAAGTCACAGGCCAGCGATATTAGAAATAAAGATTTCTATTATCGGGGCAATATTTTTAGTTTTCTCAGCGTAAACTTTGAGCCCACCCTCCATTTTCTTTGTAAATTTGCCACGGGTTATGAGAGTCTGCAATAAATATAGCACTTTAAACCGTACGTGCAAAGAAAAACCATCTGCTGGGTTTTGCATTAAACCTTCCTCGTCGCAATCCAAAACCAACTGACTCACTAGAGCAGTCTTCATGAACTGAACTCATTTCCATTGCATGTACGGTCTGAAGCGGTCGTCAT